TAAGTTCTGTGGACTTGGACACATTAATATATGAGTGAACCACCACCACAGTCCAGATTCAAAATATTTGTTATCACCCCAAAACTCCGCAGGCCTTGTTGTTGTCAACTCTTATCCCTTATCTTCAGTTCCTGGCAACCACTGATCTGTTTTCTGTCCCTGTGTTTTTGCTTTAGCATGAATGCCATATAAATAGAATCATACAGTATATAGGCTTATTTTACACCATCAAGTTTTAAACATGTATTCTTAAAATTTATATTAGAACCAGGCATATCGACATTCACCTATAATCCCAGTTACTCTGGAGGCAGAGGCAGGATAATTATAAATTTGAGGCCAGCCTGGGTAATTTAGCAAGACTGTCTTAAAAAAAAAAAAAGTTCTGAGGTTGTATCTCATTGATAGAGTGCCCTGAATTCAGTCCCTATTACTGCAAAAAAAAAAAAAAAAGTAAAATTTACTCTGGGTTACAGTTATATAAGCTTTGATAAATTATGCATCCAGGTATGTAATAACCATTACAATCAAGGTATGGAACAGTCCTATTAGCCTACCCCCACCAAATTCACTCCTGCTACTTTATAGTTAAAACCAGTCCCCTATCATTGATTTGTCTTTGTCCTTATGGTTTATGTTTTGAAGAATGTTATATAAGTGGAATTATACAGATGTAACTTTTTGAGATTCAATTTGCTAATAATAAATTTGAGATTTACCAATGTCATTGGTTGTTAACATTAGTTCTTGTTCCTGAGTCATATGCCATTGTGTGGATGTACTACCATTTGTTTTATCTACCATTTTAGATTCTTTGCAGTTTTGGGCAATTATGAATAAAGCTGCTCTGTAAACATTAAAAAAATAAAATAAAAATTAATTTGCTTTAGAGCTGAGGTTGTGGCTCAGTGGAAGAGTGCTTGCCTAGCATGTGTGAGGTACTGAGTTTCATTCTCAGCACCATATATAAATAAATAAAATAAAGGTCCATTGATAACTAAAAAAAATAAAGAAAATAATTTGCTTTAAATATGCAAATTTTAAGTAAATAAACTTTCTTATACTTATTGTTATTGGTATGAATATAGTAGACTACTGGAATAATTTACATCATAAGATAGACTTCAAATTCTCCAACTGGGAAAACTGACATGGCTACTAATATCCCAAAACTAGCTTGCCAGAATATTCATTTGTTATTATTTTTGATCTGTTGCAACAAATCTACAGTTCTATATCAGCACTGTAAACATACACTATGATTTATGACACTCACAAAAATTTCTAGCCAAACAGAGCTAATGAAACCATTGGATACTTCAGTAAATAATCTCATTTTAATAAGAATTAGCTGTGTACCCTGCATTGAAGGAAATAGGGATAGAGCTTGGTAGAAGATACACAAAAAGAAAGATTTTTAACTCATGACTAACCTACAAAGTAAGGTGTTTGTAAAAATGTACAGAATTCTTATAATGTACATATACCTGTCGCAACAATTTTCACAATTATTTCATATGTTCATTTCCTTAATAGGCAATAATGAATATCAGAGAAACCACATAGCAATTACACATTTCTCCAGAACTGTGTCTACCTTGCTTGAGTTTATTGTTTGGTTAATAAGATAATATTTTACAGGTTGTAGAGGGTTGTCAAATTTTAATTTCACATAAAACATAATAGCTCATAAAGTTGTCTACTTCCTTCATGTAAAATTGTGCTTCACTAACCCAATTCAGAGCTTCATTTTGATGTAGACGGTGGTCTCGAATGCATATCATGCATATATATATGCACATACATGAATACACATGAAATTTGAAAGGATTCAAATCACAGGGAATGATAACATTAAAGTGAAAACAATTTGACATTTTTTTGACAGAGAGTAGATTGTTGTATTTAGCAAACAAGCAAACTACTCTTACTGTGCATTAAAAAATAGTTTCAATACTTTAAGTGGCATCAACTTATAGCAAGTATTCAGTTCCATGGTCCCATTTTTTTTTCTTGCTGTTATTTTGTTATTGCTGTGTAGGACATGCCAGCTTTTAAGATGTTATTGAAACATATAGCAATGACTGCATTCCCTTTCAGTAAGGTATTCTGACAAAAGACAAGGGAATTGTAAGATGTGGGTGATCAGCAGATTCAACAATGTCAGAAGATCCATGAGAATTATAATATAAAATATAATGAATTGATTAATAAGGAGAGTTGGAATGATGACCTTCAATAAAATTACTGACTTAATCTGCCATTTGTATAAATTTATAATAACATTAATTTAGACTGTTAGGTAGAAGTGATTAAATATTTGTCATTTAGTAGTTGGAATCTATCAGTCATGGGAAATGTATTTATTGAACACAAGCTGTTATAGTTTAGATATGGAGTATCTCCCAGAAGTTCATGTGTGAGACCATGCAACAAGATTTAGAGGTTAAATTATTGGGTTATGACAGCCTTAATCCCTTGATAGGGATTAACTGAGTGGTAACTGAAAGCAGGTAGGGTGTGGCTAGAGGAGGTGGCACTGGGAGTGTGCCTTTGGGATATATACTTTGTCCCTGGCCATTGGAGTCTCTGTCTCTGTCTCCTGGTGTGAGGTCTTGAGCCACTTTCCTCCATCACACTCTCTGCCATGTTGTCCTATCTTACCTGGAGCCCTGAGGATTGGAGCCAGCTGTCTATGGACTGAGACCTCTGAAACCATGAGGCCCCAAATAAAGTTTCCTCCTTTAAAATTGTTCTTGTCAGATGGTATCCAATTGTAAGTCCAGAAATAAACCCATATATTTATGGTCAACTATTTTTTATTAGTTTTTTAGTTTTAGGTCGACACAATATCTTTATTTTATTTTTATGTAGTGCTTAGGATTGAACTTATTGTCTTAGTGCCTCATGGGCTTGCCTCATGCTAGGCAAGCACTCTGCCGCTGAGCCACAACCTCAGTCCTAGTCAACTAATTTTTTGACAAAGGAAAATAATGATCTTTTTATTAATTGGTTCTGGGAAACTGAATATTCTTGAAGTTTGACCTTTATATCACAACATATACAGAAATTAACTCAAAATGAGTCAGATATAAATGTGAGAGCTAAAATCTCAAAATTCTAAGAAGAAAATGTATGCATAAATCTTTGACCTTGGATTAGACAATAAAAAATTAAAAAAAAAAGAAGGTTCTCAGCTCATTTTCAAGGAGGAAAAACATAAACAAGTTAAAGAGAAGAGCCACATCATGAAGTTGCTCCATGTAAGGAGGATTTCTTTATTGACCGTCATTACTCTGGGCTCCAGTCAGGGCCAGGGTCAGTGGCTGGGCAGCCCAGAAGTCTGCCCTGGAGGTTCTGAGAAGAAGGCTGCTTAGAATTCTTATCTGGACTTTTATTTATTTATTTAATAATAAATACACATACTTCTTAGGTATTGCAAGAAATGAAAACAAATCATCTTATTCCCCCTTCCCTCCTCCACCATTCTTCCCTAATACAAATTAAGAAAAGCCAGATTTGCAGGTAAATGGATGGAGTTGGAGAATATCGTGCTAGGTGAAGCAAGCCAATCCCAAAAAACCAAAGGCCGAATGTTCTCTCTGATAAGTTGATGCTGATCTGTAATTGGGGGAACATGGGAAAAATAGAGGAACTTTGATGGGGCACAGGGGAGGGAAAGGTGGTGAAGGGGCATGGGGGTAGGAAAGATAGAGGAATGAGATGGACATCATTACCCTAGTTGCATGTATGACTGCACATTATGGTGCGATGCTACATCTTGTACAATTGTGCTGCAATTGTGTACAAGGAATCAAAATACATTCTGCTGTCATATATACCTAATTAAAATTAAAAAAAAAAGCCTAAGAAAATCCAGGTGCTCTATTGTTTTTTATTTTCTTTCTTTCTTTTTTTTTAAACAACAATTGCAATAGATATCTGACTAAACAGGATAGATTTTTTTCTTCTACTCATCCACCTGCCCAGGCAATTTTTTATTTATCCATCCATCGTCCATCTGCTCACCCATTCCATTTCACAAATCATGTTGTGAAATTACTTTAGAACATTCTTTCCATGTTTTAAAAAGTATGACTTTTGTTCACTCAAGTAATTATGCATGGAGAAGGTTTGATAAAGAGGCAGGAACCCACTAGCAAAGGGGAATCCCTTGGAATAAAGCTGCCATTCAGATGGGCAGTTCCTCAGCTTTACTGATGTGCCCAGCAAGTTAGGAGAAGTTAGAAATGTCTCCCAGCAGTGCCCCATGTCCTCTGAATTGCGTGAATGTGTTTAGATACAGTTTTTGAAAGACAAGGGAAAAGAAATTGGCTCTATGAATGTGGACCAGTTATAGAAAGGATACTGGACTAAAAGAAATGAGAATTAGGCAGTGGAAGCAAGATATACACGTAGGTCTATAAGCAGGAGCATGAGGTATGGGGTGAGAGGGCTATAAGCATTAGTCCACTCGGTGTCCCTGCTTGCCTCTGAGCATGGCTGATTTTCTTGAGTTGAGCTTCTCTAAGGCTTTGTGTCTTTAATTAATTTATTTTGATTCTTTTTTATTTATTCTAATTAGTTATAATGTCAGTAGAATGCATTTTGACACATTGTTATTATTTTTTTAAGAACTTAAGTTTTCTACTAAGAAAATATACAATAGCAGAAAATAACAGTCATGAAAAGGAGAATTTTTTTTCTTAGTTTTCTACTAAGGAAATATACAATAGCAGAAAATAACAGTCATGAAAAGGAGAATTTTTTTTCTTCCTTCTTCCCCTTCCTCGCTTTCTCCTTCAGCTAAAGAAATGCCCAATCACCATTTAGTTCAAATATAATGCCTTTTATATTTTATTAAGTAATTTTTATATGAATGTTCTCAATAGATAATCTCTGACAAGCATCTGTTATTTTGAGCATTGTGCTTTGAACACCAAAACAGAGTAGTGTGAAACTTTTGAGAAGCACTAGAAAGAAAAGAAGAACCAGGAAACTTCACACAAGATATCTTTATTCTTCCATGTGGTGGCAGGGAGAACAGGACATTTGTTCTTTATTATTCAAAGAGCCTTTTAAAAGTCACCTAGGAAATCAAGCATTCTAAGGATCTCCTGATTTCTTTTGGCTTTGGCCAAGAAAATGGAATTACTGAGAAAATCCAACTTTTTATAAAATATTGCTGTTGGAAGGTCTTTTCAGTGGGTTAAATACTATAAAACTATTGTTTGCTAGACAATCCAGAGGAGGGAGAAAATAAAAATAATTATGAGACAGCAGCATGTTGGGTGGGGTTTGCACAGACTTGATCCCAATGTCAGACCATGGTCTCAGAGTTTCAGTGTGATGGTGTTTTTTCTCTTATCTTAGGTGATGGATGATGTGTTAAGGCAAAAGCAAGGATTCTTTACCTCTCAGGTTTTTGAAACAGTCCAAACACTGTAGTTCTCATGCCAATTTCCTTTAACCATGACCTTGCATTATATGAAGGTCAACTTGCTCCCACTGAGGATTTCTAAACCCATCAGTGGCTGGAGATTTACAGGCACAAGTCTGCTTCTGGCTGCTTTTCTGAATCCTGATTATGGAGTCAGTGTAGGAAGAAGCAAGCAATGCTAGAATTATATTGTCATTGCATGGGTTTGCTTTATAGATGTCTTCTCTTTAGAACATTCCTTTTTCTTGTTTTAAATCCTGGGGTCGTTATGCAGTGGAGGGCATTTCTTAAACAGTTGACAACATTGTGGAGGTGAAGATCTGTTGTAAAATCTGAGGGATGTCCTTGGTATCCATGGCAATGAAAGACCTGCCAGCTGGTAAAGTTTTCTGGAGCCTGCCAGGAGGGGAAGGAAAAGAAAGTTACCATTACAAATTGAGGATCCCTTTCCATCTTCCTCCATGGCAAATCATATCTAAGTGGTAGGAAAGGAAGTTTTTACTTTCTAATACCTTGCTTACTGCCTGCAATTTAACTGGCTGTCACTAAACAATGAAAGGCCTGGAAGAGCAACAGGGAGAGAGAGAGTGTAAAAGCAATAAACCATAAGGAAGGTCCTTGCAGTAAGAAAACGAGTGGATGTGGAAAGGAAAAAAAAATTCTCCTTTTCATGACTGTTATTTTCTGCTATTGTATATTTCCTTAGTAGAACAGAGCCCTAGGGACCCAACTAGAATTAGCTCACCTGGGTTCAGCAAATGTGTTGGCCTGATACTGTACATCTAAATGCTTTGCCTTCTAGAAAACAGGGCTCCAAGAATTTTGCCCAGCCAAATCCTGAGTGGTTTTATTTTTTCTCCACCCTCCTCTCCTTTTTTGGCTCAACTCACACAAATGTGTATTGCAGTCTGGTTTTTCCAACTGCTGCTTTGATAATACTGAGGTTATATAAGCTTATAGCAATTTTAAAAAATACTAACTTATTACTTGGAACAAAAGAACATTTTTGAAGGTAATAAAACCACAAGATACAATTTTATTCAAAGGAATGCCTCTTTTCATTGTGGCAACGGAGTCTGGTTTTGGAATGACATTTCATAAAAGTCAGCCATCCTGTGTAGTATCATCCATTTGGCATGCCTGGCAAACCAGAAAATTCTGCAACATATCTTTTGCCAGTGGCTTTGGACCATTTCCCTAGGAAATCACAAGGGTATTATTGTGCTTCCTTAAGTATTCAAACAGGATCTGTTTACTAGAAGACAAAGTAGCCATTTCAGATCAACTAGTGTTTGCTATCTGCCTAATACTGGGCTGTGCTGAGAAAAACAGGACTAGGAAAAGCATGGTTTGCTTTCAAGGACAAGAAGGTGCAAAGTGCCAATGCATAAAAGTCAGTTGTATTAAAGTGATGGTGATGACACAATATTGTCTATTCTTTACCTTCCTCAGTAATTCTGTAGCAAGGTGATGGAAGATGTCAGCATGCAGGATACTAAAACCTTTCCTAGTTCATGGTCTCTGAATCACAGAGCATGACAGGTTAAAGAGGAGAAATAGGAAAGACAGGCCCTTTGGGGCTCAGGAAGATTTTTTGTTTAGTTTTGTTTTTTTGTTAGTTTTAGCAGATAAACTTTTACCTGTGTTTTCTGTTTTTTATAAATATTATATGTAGAGAAATATGAGCTATTTTGGTTTGTCATTCAGAAAGATAAATGTTAAAAGATAAGTACATTTAAGTTATGAAAGCTTCCCCAGATCTTTCCTTTTAGATCATCCTCAGTGGTATTTATTGTTTGACCATAAATTTCTTCAGTGAACATTCAGAATATTTAGTGTAGAATATAACTATATATGGTGTCTTAATTGGTTTCCAAGTGTTTCATCTGCTTTGTCTGCCCAGTAATAGTGGACACACACACGCACACACACACTCATATACACACACACGCAGATATATGTGTATAAATACACACACACATACATAGGCATATCTATGGATACTTACACACACACACACACACACACACACATATATATATACATTTATATCACTTATTAGAGAATCAAGTATGTGGAGATACATGTATGTATGTCTACATGTCTATCTGTCTATATATATGTCTACATATAAAATACTTAGACACAAATATACACATTTTGTCTTATGCCAAGAAAACTAACATATTCACTATTTTGAATATGATTTGGACACAAACCGATGAGACTATGCTTGGGACCTTGATACAAGATGCCAAATGCATAAAATATTATCTAACATTAATGAACAAACCAATTTGATAATTAGTTTGTTAGTTTAAACATAATCTGAAAAACAGTTAATTTAAATTTAAATTTATGATTGCTTCTCTAAACATAAGCTAAAACATCACATCTCCTCAGTTAGATTGCAAACTCTTGAGTGGCATCTCTAGATTGTTTTTCCTATATGTCCCTCACTCAGTTCCCCTCTGGTGCTCATTCCACCAGACAGCATGTGTCAGGCTATTATGGTTTGGATGTGAGGTTTCCCCCCAAAGCTCATGTGTGAGACAATGCAAGAAGGTTCAGAGAAGAAATGGTCGGGCTATAAAAGCCTTAATCCAATCAGTGAATTAATCACCTACTGGGATTAATTGAGTGGTAACTGGACACAGGTGGGGTGTGGCTGGAGGAAGTAGGGCATGGGGAAGGGATTGGGGGTATATATTTGTATCTGGTGAGTGGAATCTCTCTGCTTTCTGATCATGTGAGCTGCTCCCTTCTGCCACTCTCTTCTACCATGACGTTGAGCCTCACCTTGAGCTATGGATTGAGACTTCTGAAATCATGAGTCCATTATAATAAACTTTTCCTCCCCTAAAATTGTTTTGGTCAGATCTTTTAGTCATAGCAGCAAAAAAAGCTGACTAAAACACAGGCACTCATTCTATCTATGCCTGCCTTTTGCAGTGTCCTGAGATGACACTTACCTGGTTGCTTGATCACCCAATGATCCAATAAAAATGGCAAAAGCATTTACTTGAGGGTCACTTGTAAGGATTTGGGCAAATGTGGCAGGTTTTATTCCATATCGTGACAGATTTGCATCACTTAAGACTATGACAAAGTATTCATCAGCCTCTTCTTTGACAATTTCCTTGATAGCATGTTCTGTCCCCATTAATGTGTGGTCTCCACTCATGCAGAACTGAGAGTGGGCATGCATTGTCTGGAGGAAAGAGTCAGAGCAAAAGTCAGGGGTGATAAGCTTCTTTGAACAAACAGGATGGTTTTTCTATTGACTGTGTGAATGCATAAAAGCTAATTATTACAAGTCAGTAACAGGTTTCTGAGCAAGTTTATTTAACTTGCACATCAGAGTAACAACAGTACACAGTAATATTTGCATTTGGTAGACTTTTGTTAGAAAGAAGGAAATGTTCCAAACTATCACTGTTGACAATTACTTTTAAAATTAAAGTTTCCATTTAAAGTGAGAAAATGTAAGAAAGTATAAGAATTGGTATCACATGGGTGAAAAATAAGGAATGGATTAAATTTCCAATAAAGTTATATTGTACTTACATCAGTAGCAATGGAGGAAATTTGTTTTAAATCATTACATGCATGTTTTTCTTGCAGATTGAAGTATGTGCAATTAAATTTATTATTATAAGATACTAAGAAAAGCATAAATTAGTACTCTACAAGGGATCATTCTTTTCCTTCTACTGAACATGTAGCATATATGAGGAGTCACAGGTTACAGAATCCCAATGCAATACTGAGATGCATAATCCCAATCCAATACTGAGTACTCTAAAAATATGCACAGAGCAAAATTCAAATTTGGATGATGGAGAAAAGGGTTTGAGGTCTCATGGGTGTTTTCTGTTTACAACTTGAAAGTTTGTGAAACAGAACATCATTTTCTTTCTAATATCTACTGCTTCTCCAGTGAATCTTTTTATATAGTCTTTAGCTAATCAGATAGAAGTTTTCACAGTATAGAGATAACAACATATTTACCTTTAGAATTTCTAGTCTTTGTTTGTTGTTCTTGGGGATTTTGTTAATTGAAACTAGTGCAATATTGTAGTCATCTCCAGAGTGTCCAGCGATGTCATACTATGCAAAGAATCAGAGAGTTAGAAAACATTGTCCACTAGAGAATTATCACTGAGCCTCTGCATTTCTATCTCTTTGGAATCTGATGGTCCAAAGTTGCTCAATATTTGGCCATTAAGAAATGCACAGAAGCAGATGTATGTTTATCAATAGTTGAAATGCAGACAGATTCTCATTTTGGATCCACCTTCTTTTGTGATCTCTGCTTTCTGTAGGAGGTGGAAAGTATGATGAGGGCTTCGGGGACTACCCTGAATTCCATTCATAACTTTCAGGGAGAATTTTTTTTTCCAATCACACACACACATAGAAACAATGATGGGCAGAATTCTAAGGTGGTCGTCAAGATCCCAAGCCCCAGTGCACCTGTTCTTTATAAGCTTCTTCCTGTAAGCTGGGGCAGGATCTGGAAATAGGATGGGGAGTTACTCATGATAATGTTAACTTAATGGCAAAATGAACTTGCAGATATAATTAAGTTTACTTGGTTTGAGTTAATTGAAAGGGAGGTAATAAGGGCCTAATCAAATCACTTGAACTATTGATTTATTGTTTGTTTGTCTATTATATCCTCCTTTTATTGGTGGGATGCTGAGAGTAGAAAACTGATATGTAAATTGTACATTTACTCCTGAAATTTTTTTAGGCAAATGTAATTTTATTTTTTGAGATAAAAATCACAGATCCAAAAATGTGATTTTTTTTGTATTTCTTTTTTTCCTCATTTTTAATAGGTTGATTATAGTTGGACATATTGATAGGATATATTGTTACATATTTGTACACACACATAATATGACAACACAATTGGGCCAATATCACTCCCCACTATGTCCCACCTCCCTCCCTACCTCTCACTCCTTAGTCTCATTCCTTTACTACTCTCCATTTGGTTTTTAGGAGACCAATCCCACCTTTATTTTCCTTTTTCCTCTCTAGCTTCCACATATGAGAAAAAAAAAACATATGGCCCTCAAACTTTTGAGTTTATTTAACTTAACACGATGGTTATTAACACGAGTTTATTTAACTAAACATTAAATAAGTTTATTTAACTTAACATGATGGTTTCTAATTCCATCCATTTTTCTGGAGATTACATAATTTCCTCTTTCTTTATGGCTGAATAAAACTCCATTGTGTAAAAATACCACATTTTCTTTATCCATTCATCATTGATGGACACCTAGGCTGGTTCCATAGCTTAGGTATTGTGACATGTGCTGCTACAAACATGAGTATGCATATATCACTGCAAGACTTTAATTATTCAGGATAAATAACAAGAAGTGGTATAGCTGGGTCATATGGTGATTCCATCCCTAGTCTTGAGGAACCTCCATACTTATTTCCATAAGGGTTGTAAATTCAATGCTATCCCATTTATTAACTCTTGGCATTATTTTTTCTGAGCTTTAGAGGTCCTATTAAGAAAGTTATTGCTTGTGACCCTATATTTTCTTTTAGGAGTTGCAGAATTTTCATTTAATTCATAGGTATTTGATCCATAAAGAGTTAATTTTTTGTGCAGGGTGAGAGATAAGGGTCTAGTTCAATGCTTTTACATATGGATAACCAATTTTCCGGGGACCATTTGTTGAAAAAGGTTGTCCTTTCTCCAACCTTTTGGCACCTTTGTCAAGGACCTGATGACTAAAGGTGTATGGTGCCATGACCAGCACAACAACAACAAAGGATCTTGAGGAGGGGTGATAGGAGACTAAGAAAAACACAGAGACAAAGTAAAACAGACATTTTTAAGCAAAGCTGGGGCCAGGTGGGACACTGTTCTTAGAGGGAGGAACAATGACCCACAATGAGTTTGGCAAGTTTATTATATAGGGTCTCATCATCAGGAAGTTCAACTACAGAAGCTTTGTACATTTTTCAAGACTTGTGAGTTATCAAGAGGCTTCTTTGTGCACTAAAAAGTTATAAAGCTAAAACATTTGGGGCTATCCTGCTTTTATGCTGTTAAGAATATCCCGTGGCTATCCTGCTGTACTCAGGAAACCCACTCTACTGGAACATTTGATTACTACTGATGTCAGAGCCCAGTGTCAAGGCTTTTCATACATCCTGCCTTTGACAAGGAATGTTTTCTCAGGCTTGGCTTTTGCCTACACTGCAGGATCAGCCAATGGGCTCATTTGTTCAATAGTTTGGATTTCTCTCTGTGTCTTCTCTCTGCACCATTGGTCTATATGTCTGTTTTTATGCCAGTCCCATGCAGTTTTTTGTTACTATAATTCTGTACTATAATTTGAAGTTAGGTATTGTGATACCTTCAGCCTTACTTTTTGGGGCTTTGAATTGATTTTGCTCTTCTGAGTTTTTTATTCTTCCAAATGCACTGAATCTGTATATTGCTTTTGGTAGCATGGCTATCTTGACAATATTAATTCTGCCTATCCATGAACATGGGAGGTTTTTTCATCTTGAGGTCATCTTCATTTTCTTTCTTCAGTATTCTATAGTTTTGTTGTAAAAGTCTTTCACCCCTTGATTAGATATACCCCTAGGTAAATTTGCAGTTTTTTGAGACTATTGTGAATGGAATTTTGTCTTTTTGATTTCATTTTCAGTAGATTTGTTGTTGTTATATAGGAAAGCTATTGATTTTTTATGTAGATTTTGTAACCTGCTACTTTGCCAAATTTGTTGATTAGCTCTACCAGTTCCTTGGATCTTCTATGTATAGGATCATACAATTTACACAGAGTGATAATTTGACTTCTTCCTTTCCTATTTTTTTTCCAATTTTACTTCCTTCTTTTAAAATTTCCTTCTCTTAACTAATTGCTCTGGCTAGAATTTCTACTTTGACTTGTCACAGATTTTAAAGGAAATGCTTTCAGTTTTTCCCCATTTACTATGAGGTTGGCTTTGGGATTTTCACATATAGCCTTTATGATGTTGAGGTAGGTTCTTTCTATCCCTAGTTTTTTCAGTGTTTTTATAATAAATGGGTTCTAAATTTTGTTGAAGTCCTTTACTGCATCTATTGATATTACAGTGATTTTTGCCCTTAATTCTATTTATGTGATGAATTAAGCATAATTATGTTGAGCATAATTTGCTAATATATGATTAAGTTCACCAGGGATATTGGTCTGTAGTTTTCTCTCCTTGATATATCCTTATGTGTTTTGGGTATAAATGTGATACTGGCTTCATAGAATGAATTTGGAAGTATTTTATCACTTTCTATTTCATGGAATAATTTGAGAAGAATTGGCATTGGTTTTTCTATAAAATTTTGGTAGAATTCAGTCAAGAATAATTCTGGTCCTATGCTTTTCTTTGTTGGAATGCTTTTTTATTACTGTTTGTATTTCATTACAAGTTATTGGTCTGTTTAGGTTTTCTATGTCCTCTTGATTCCATTTTAGAGATCATATTTGTCCAGAAATGTATCTACTTCTTCTAGGTTTTCCAGTTTACTGGAATGCAAGTTTTTAAAATAGTCCCTAATGATTTGCTGGATTTCTGAGATGTCTGTGGTGATTTCTCCTTTTTCTTCTCTAATTTTGTTAATTTGGGTTTTCTCTCTTCTTGTTTTGGTTAGTTTGGCTAAAGGTTTATCAATCCTGTTTATCTTTTCAAAGAATCAACTTTTTGTCATTGATCCTTTGCATTGTGTTTTATTCTCAAATTCATTGATTTTGGCTCTGATCTTAATTATTTCCTTCCTTTTACTGGTTTTTGAATTGGTTTGTTTTACTTTTTCCAAAGCCTTGAGATGCATCATTAGGTTGTTTATTTGGGATGTTTCTGATTTTCTTATGTAGACACTCATAGCTATAAACTTTTCTCTTAGAACTGTTTTCATAGTGTCCCAGAGATTTTGGTATGTTGTATCACTATTCTCACTTGAAACTAATAATTTGTAATTTTTCCCCTGATTTCTTCCATAGTCATTTCATCATTCAAAAGAGTATTGTTCATACTCCATGTGATTATATAGGGTATTGTCGTGTTGATTTTTAATTTCATTTTATTTTGATCTGATAAGATGCAAAGAATTACTGCAATTTTTTTTTGTATTTTTTAAGTGTTGCACTGTAGCCTAAAATGTCTGTTTTGGAGAAGGTTCCATGAGTGTGTATTCAGCTATTGTTGGATGAAATACTCTAAATATGTCTTTTAAGTTCATTTGAACCTAATTTTTTTCAGGTCCAAAGAGTCTTTTGGATGACCACTCTAATCATGAGAGGTGTTTCAAAATCACCCAGCATTAGTGCACTGAGGTCTATCTGGGGCTTCATTTGATTAGCATTTTTTATGTAATTAATTGCAGCCATATTTGGGGCATAAATGTTTATTGTTGTTTTATCTTCTTATTGGATTTCTCCCTGTACCAATATGAAGTGACTTTCTTTGTATCTTCTGATTAATTTCAGTTTGAGGTCTGCTTTGTCAGATATGAGAGTGGTTACTCATGTTTGTTTTGGGGCCCCATTGGCAGGGTGTATCAAATTCCATCCTTTTGGCTTGTGTATCTCTTTTCCTGTATGGTGTGTCTATTGCTAATAACACAAAGTTGGGTCTGGTTTTTCAATCCATTCTTCCAGCCTGTCTTTTAATTGAAGAGTTGAGATCATTTATATTCAATGTTATTATACAGAGATGTTTATAATTTCCTTCCATTTTGGTTTTTTCATCACAGTTAATTTGGTCCTCTTTCTCATTTGCTTAGCTACTCTTCACATGAGATTTGTTGTTTTGTGTGTTCTGAGGTTGGTTTTTGATTTTTTTTTTCCTCTGTGGAGTATTTCTTTAAGTAAGTTCTGTAGTACTGGTTTGGTATTCATGAATTCTTGTAGTTTCTGAATATCCTGGAAGGCTTTTATTTCATCTTCAATTTTGAAAGATAGTTTTGCTGAATACAGCAGTCTTGGTTGATAGTTATTTTCTTTCAGGACCTGGAACACACCATTCCCAGCCCTATTGCCTTGTAGAGTTTGTACTGAGAAATCTGAAGTGATTCTTATTGGCCT